CTTAACAAAAGTAACATTAAAAAAATAATGTGACTAGTCTTCAATTTTCTATAAAAATGATGCATTTGAAATTTTAGATTAGGATTATTTTTATAAATGCCCCCTAAAATATCTATCTTGTTTCAAAGTGCCCCTTAATTTTTTAAAATGATTCAAAATACCTTTGATTTATAAAAAAAAGGTTCAAAATACCCTTTCTGTCTGATGTGGCAGGTAAAAAAATCAATTAAAACCATTAAACTATAATTAAATGTATATATATTTTATTATATAATAAAGAAAATTAAAAACTTATTTAAAAAACATAACAAAAAAAAAACCCCCAAAAAAAGTCTTCTTCTTCACCTTATTCTTGCAGACCTATTTCACTCTCTTTTCTGAAAATTTCCAATCTTGTTTTAACGTTTCCTTTCTCTTTTTCTTTTGGAATGCAAAGAATGCTTTTGCTCTGTATCTCTTTTGTCACCAACGTAAACCACGAGATTATCTTCTTTGTTTGGTAGATTTTGGACATGAGCTTAGTTGTTAAAATGGTGCTAGTGATGTCAAAGGTGTTCGCATCGATGAACTCAGATCTCTCCTTAAAATCCTCATCGGAGAGTAGTGAGATGTGGGTAAGTGGATAGTGGATGCACCACGTGTTTTGAAGATGCTGCTTTATGTATGAAGTAAATAGTATTTATGGATGTAAGAGAAAGTAAGTTATGTAATGAAAGTAAAGTATACGAGACAACAAGGCTATGCTTAGCAACCTCAAGGCACAAAGTATGTTGATGTACCCAAAATTCTATCATGTTAATGGCAGGTGAATGGCAGTGGTGTCATGATCGGGAAATTTGTCGAAGAAAATTATTGTATAAGATGAAATTTTCTAAAATTCTTTGTATTATAAATAAGAATACTTTTATGATAAGTATTTGTTGTTATTAATATTGAATAGCAAAGTATAAGCTAAAAGTCAGAAATTTCTGAGCTATCATGCAGTTACCGAATTTTAGACTGTAATCAAGAAAGAGGCACGGAACGCTGTGTTATCCCCACAAGTAGACAAACACATGAATACTAAGTTTAAGAAATGAAGAAGGATTAAAAATCATCAATTTTAGGGTTTTAGAAACAATCAAAATGAAGAACGGACGAAAAAAGGGTTCGGAAGGCCGAATCGAGAAAATTAGGGTTTTTGACCGATTAGGGTTGACCGAGTCGAAACTTGTTGACCAAGAGTTGACCAATGGGTCACTCTTGAAAAGTTAGTCAAGGTTGAGTAAAGTTGACCAAGTTGACCAATAGTCTGAAAAACACAGGTAAAACGCTCACCGGATAAGAATTAAACTTAATCGAAATAAGATAGTTATTAAAAACAAATGGTTGAGATTTAAGGTGATTAACGGATGGAGGGCTGAGATTATGATGCATGGAAAGTGAAGGAGAAAGGCCAGCCAAGACTTAGGGGAGAAGCCAAATAGATATTTTGAGTTTTTTCTTTTGCAAAAAAGACCCTAGAAAGTGTCAAAATTGCACCTATGTCCCTCCTCTCTTTTTTGTGAACCATTTTAGAAGGGAAAAATACAAGAAAATTTCCATTTAATTACAAGAAAACAGAGAGAACTCAGCCAAAGAAAGAGAGGAAAACAAAATTTCCCAAATTGAGAAAACCGAGTTCAAAATAAAATCGGCGGAAACTACCGTTGATTAGCGTCACTGAAACTTGTTCTTCATTCTTCTAAATTTTTAACCATGGCTAGATGTCCATGAACAGTAGAATTCATGAATTTTTTTTTTAAAGAATGATGATTGGCTTATGGTTATGAATGGTACCAAAAAAACCTAATGCCTAAAAGGTTAAATTTTCAGTTATTAGATTATGTTTTTAGCATTTTTGTTTAGAGAGAAATCTTGTGAAAATAGTGAAGGAATCCTAGAGATTATGATGATAAAAAAGAATGAGAATGATCATGTGATGTGTTTGAAAGGTTGAAATTACGGATAAAACAAACTATGGCTAGGTTAGGAAACCCATAAATTGGGCGGAACTTCGCTGAAATTTAGTTAGAGAATTTGAACTAAAACCTGTTGCAATGAAGAATATGAGGATTAAGATGTGTAAAGAAAATGGAATAGGTGATTTGTCACGACCCTAAGGATAGGGCCGTGATTATTGAGGTTTAATTTAAAATTTAACTTAATTAAACTGAATTAATTAAAGAAAATTCATGAAAATAAAATAAAATATACAAATACCAAAATAGATATTGAAAACAGAAGAAAAATGAGTGGAATGCCCAATAAGATATAATTTTATAAAACATTATAAATTAAAGTACTCACGGTCCGAAGACATACACCCGGAATACTCACATAATATTAGTAAAATATCTGTATAATAAAAATATGCAGAGCCATAATAACACCACTGAGCAAGAAGTGGACCGTACGGGTTTCGGGACCTGCCTCCAATTATACTATTCCCATATCCCGATCTCTGTGGCCATGATGCGTTTTATCATTTCTTAAAATATTTCATGTTAAGAAATAAAACTCTTTAAAATCTCATTTTCAAATTATTGGAAACCCAATAGCATTATTCATGCTATTTCTTTGAAAATCATTTTCTTTAAACATGTTTTGTTCTAAAACATTTTCATAGGCCAAAATCATTTAAAGTAAGGCTAATAAGGATATGGACAAGAATATCCTACATCTCGGATATCAAACCTAGGCTAGCCTTTCGTTATCCTAGCATCCGCTTTCCTCAAAGCTTTTAATCTGATCCTTCAACTAACATTGTCACAAAACAAAATATTAGAACACAATCGTCATTCCTAAAACAAATTAAGTTCAATTATGTCTAATTATTTCCTATTAGTGTGCCTTGACTCAAATCCAAGTGTCACAAACGACTTTATAATTCAGTTTGGGGGTTCTTTAAAAATTGAAATCCAATTCATGGGTTTGGTTTCCCTTTTAATTCAGCTTAAAAAGAAGGTTTTAAAGAAATTTCGGCAACATACAGGCATAAATAGGGAAAATGTCAAACCTGCAGTTCAAGTTCAATTTCAAAATAAATTCTCCAGAAATCATCAAAATCAGTTTCGAATCAATTCAACAAGTCCAATAACCGAAAATCCCTAAATTTAATTCAATTTTAACAACAATTATTCAAATCCAAACCCTAACTCAAAATTATTCAAATCTAACCAAAATTAAACTTTCTTAAGTTTAAAATTCAAATCAAATAGTGGGTTTTAAGGGGTTTTACCTCAAATTAGTTGATGGAGTTGTTCTCTCTCTTTTCTCTCTTTTTTTTTCTTTCTTGCTTCGATAGGAACAAACCGGAAAGAGAGAGAGGTGGGAGAAAGAGAGAGAGCAAGGGAGAATGCCGGTGAGAGAGGGGGAGAGAGAGATGGCCGGTGGCCGGCTGGAGTAAAGGGGAAAAAGAGGGAGGGACCATCATCGGAGAAATAGAAGAGAGAGAGGAGAGAGAGAGAGAGAGAGAGAGAGAGAGAGAGAGAGAGAGAGAGAGAGAGAGAGAGAGAGAAAGGTTGGTTTGGGCAACCACGGGAAGGAAGGGAAAGAAAAGAGAAAAAGAAGAGAAAGAAAAGAAAATACATTAAAATGAAGTGTATTTTCAAAAACCTTTGGGCTGAAATCATAAATACAAAAAATAATTTAAAGTTTCTTAATTAATTGAGAAAATCAAATTAAGCACACTAATAACTCACAATTTAGCATAATTAAATATGTTTAATTCTGGAGGGCGTTACATGATTAACCTTAAAGCCCAAGGCTCTGTCGTCGTTCGGGGCAACAATTGCAAATCGCAAATCACAAATCCTCCTCTGCACCCTCCATGGCCCCTTCATGAACTGCCTTCCAGCGATCTCGCCCACCCCACAAGCCCTCTGCTGCGCTGCCCCCCCCTTGTGAACCCAGCCAAGCCGCCTAATGACGAACAATCGCGGCCAAGTCCACCAGCCCCTCGTCATTGGAGTTACACAGGGCCAAATCTGAGTGCATCACCGACAACGACGGTCTCTAGAGGGTGAGTTTCTCTAACAAGTTCAGTGAGAGGGAGAAGAGGAAGAGATTGGAGAGAGAAAACGATGGACTTTTTTTTAAAATAATTTTTTTATTGTTATTTTTTTAACATTTAATCATTGTGATATTTAATTAGAATGTAATGACTTTAAGTAATATTTATTTTCTGCCACATCACCAAAATCTGTTAGAAATATAGATAGAATTAAACGGAGGAGATATTTTGAATCGTTATTTTATAGATGTGATATGTTTTGAATCATTTTAAAAAATTAAGAGGAAACATAGTACATATTTTGGGGAATTTATAAAAATAATCTTTAGATTACAATTCCCTACTTACCAGGCAGAGATTAATTTACTAGACTAGAAACCTGGCCGGGAAGAAACTGGGCTTCTCACTGAGCCCATTAATATTGCCTGTAAAGTCATCAAGCCCATAAACCGGGCATTATAAAAGCCGCGTGCTTAAATACATGGGGTCACCGACTCACATGAATGTGAGGGTGGGCACTGTGGCGTGGTTCTCACGCGAGAATAATTCGCCCAAAAAGAAATATAAATATAAATATAAGAATAAACGAGTCTACAAATTCATTCTTTTTTAATCCGAATCCCAATTTAAATAAGAGAGGCGTGCCTAGGTTAAATTTTTTATTTATTAGATCTCCGTATTTTTTAGGTAATTTTATATAAATTTATTAGATAAAAAATTTAAATCTTATTTATTTTATTAATTTAAATTTAAATTTTATTATAATAAATTTTTTTAAAAATAATTATATTTAATTTTTTTATTATAATAAAAAATTCTCATATAAAATTACAATTTAACTCAAATTAAAAATTTAAATTAATAATTAAACAGGCTTAAACTATTATTACGTTGACGTAAGAGAACGTCCCTTTAAATAATCCGAAATAAAAAAAAAGCATAAAATCGACAATCTGTCATTAGTCCAATTAGCTGCTCCGCACCGGCCACTGTCAGATCTGGACCGTACATTTTCTGTAGGCCTTGACAGTACATAGGGGCTTTCTCTCTCTCTCTCTCCGCCCTAATTTCGGAGAGTAGGGGCAGATTCGGAAATCGGAAAGCGAAACCGAAGACGATGCTTCGTTCTCATCTCTTATAAAAAAAGTCGCCGAAGCCGTAGAGAGAGAAACAGCGAATTTTTTAGAGAGAGAAAGAGTTCTAGAGAGAGAAAACGAACCATGTCGGGTGGTATTGCTCGTGGCCGTCTCGCTGAGGAGCGCAAGTCCTGGCGTAAGAACCATCCCCATGTCCGTAACATCTCTATTCTTCTCTCTTTATCTTGTTCGGTTTCTTTTTTATTCTAGATTCTTCTTTGTTTTGCTCCGCGAAGTTTCGAATTTTTTTTTTGGATTAAGATTTTTGGTTGATTTTTGAATTTGTCCTTGTAGGGTTTCGTTGCGAAGCCGGAGACTCTGCCTGATGGTACGGTCAATTTGATGGTGTGGCATTGCACAATTCCTGGAAAGGCCGGCGTAAGATTTCCTATATATATAATCGCTATATCTATTCATTCTATACAAAATCCCTAATTTTTTGATTTCAGTCATTATTTTCGTTTTATTGCGTTTCCTAAGGTCTGTTATAATCTGTAACTATGTTAGTTATTTTGTTTGTTTTAAGCGTTTTTTGTTTGGTGTGTTCTTTGCGATATATTTTGTGTATTGCCAAGGTGTTTGTGGTCTATTGGATTTCCTATTTTGTACTTGCATGATTATATGGGCTTCTTCAGAGATTGACTAGGTATTTTTTTTCTTATGAATCTTATGCACGCAATTGAAAGATGATTTATAGCATGATTTGTATCTATTTTGCGATCGGATGCTAGTTTTTCTGTAATCATTTTATAATATTTGTTGTAATTGATTTGTGCCTCACCTCATTCATGCCCATGTCTTTAAATTGATAACCCAGTATGATATGACATAAGTGATATCTAAAAACAGAAATTTCCATAGTTTGACACTTTAAAAATACTTCAATACCCAGGAGTAAATAGCTATGTAACAGGGGAAAATAAAGGAAATAGGATCTTCTTACAGTCAAATCACGACTTGTACTCATGGTCGCATTTGTGTCTTTTTGACCCTCTGTTACTACTACTCTTTGCAGGCTATGAGGCCTCTTTATGTATTCTCCAGATGGGACCTCAGTATGTGGTACAGATAGTAATAAGTGTTGTTTTATCTGATTATTGATAACTACTCGGAACGCATGTTAGCCCTTAAAATACTAGTTAAATGTTCTACGTTTAGGATATGGTCTCCAATCGTGAGATTAAGCATTTTATTGTTTTGTGTAATACCTTTAAGCTCCTAACACCGTGCATTGTAATGAAAGTAGCTTGTGTTGATATTTGGAGGGAATTCATATTAGCCGGGAAAATGCTATGAGAGGTTCTATTCTGGATTTGAATACTCATGGGGTCTCGATCTCTACATCTCTGTTTTTTCTCTCTTATTTTTAAAAATAATCTATGGGTTATGAAGATCATGCTGTCTATGCTTCTTCTTTTGTCATTGTTAGTTAAACCAACTTATAATCAATTTTCTGGGAATACTTTCCTTACGTGTGATGTTGCAGACGGACTGGGAGGGTGGTTACTTCCCACTGACACTTCACTTCAGTGAGGACTACCCAAGCAAGCCGCCAAAGTGTAAGTTCCCACAAGGTTTCTTCCATCCAAATGTTTACCCATCTGGAACGGTTTGCCTATCAATTCTTAATGAGGACAGCGTAAGTACTTTCTACTTGCAATCTGGTTAAGTTTAGTTGGATATTTAGGGTGGGTTTATTAGAATGCTTGTCTTATGTGTAGGGGTGGAGACCGGCTATAACGGTGAAGCAAATTCTTGTGGGCATCCAGGACCTTCTGGATCAGCCAAATCCTGCTGATCCTGCACAAACAGAAGGCTATCATCTCTTCATCCAGGTACTTTGCCTAATGGGCTCCTGTTTCTTCTACTTTGAAAATCTCCCAACAGTTTAGCGGACGAAATTCTTTTGGTTTCACTTTTCAGTAAAATATTTACTTTACCTGTTGAAATATGGCGAACTCTTATTTTCTAATGAGATGCAATTTGCTGGTTGGTTCAGTAAACAAACAGTTCAGGGCTTAATTATTTTAAAAACTATCCTGACTTTGTAAAGTCATTCGAATATGCACATTTCAAATATGTGCACTCCGACCCTGATATGTTATTGTGTTATAGATTCTACTTGTCGCAAGATGGGGAAGGATAGTTTTTGTTTTTGTTTTTTCTTTTTTTATTTGCTTTTCTTTTCTTGTGGGATGATAAGATTTAAGAGCAACTCCAATCAGACTCCAAAATGGTGCAGGGTGAGTGAATCCCTTGGAATTTGCTACAGTGCTGCGCCAGATTTGGCACACTACTGGAGATGCAACGCAAATAGCTATTTTTTTAATTAACTTTTTAAGGTTAATAATAATAAATGGCCCATAAAAAGCATATATAAAGGTAATATTTCTTTTAGAGTAACATTGAAGTAAGAACATTTCCAACCCACAACTCTGAAATTGAGTTGCTTTTGCACTAAAATGGTGCAACTTTAACTCCAAATTTAAAGTTCATCTAACCATTACTTCAAATCTTATTCTAGAAGGAATATTACCTTGATATTCCTTTTTATGGGTCAATTTTTTTCTTTTATTATTTAACCGTCAAAAAAATTTAATTAAAAAATAGCGCTCTCTAAAATGGAGTTGGAATTCGGCGCAGGGTTGGAGCGAATCCCCTGCACCATTTTGGCGTTTCACTCCATTTGGAGTTTGATTGCAGTTCCTTTAATGGTGGGGATGAACTTCAAATTTGGAGTTAAAGTTACATCATTTTGGTGCAAAAGCAACCTATTTTAGAGTTGTGGGTCGGAGATGGTAGTGCTGAGAAGTTTAATTTTAAGTGGTTGATCCATCTTTGCTCGAGTCTTCTGTTTTCTTTTGGAACTCTTTCATATCTTTACAACTGGATTGTCACAGGATGCGGTGGAGTATAAGAAGAGGGTTCGAGTGCAGGCCAAGCAATACCCACCTCTGGTGTAATGATAAACAAGCTATTCCCAGAGATTTGGTACTTTGGTTATTCATCTTCCCCCTTTTATTTATTGCTAAGAGCACTTTTTCTAAGAGATTGTTGTTATTCGCAATTGCTGATTGCCGTCAAGTGTAGACTGCATGGTGATCTACTTTAACTGCAGTATTGGATTAACTCGTGTTGATATCAGTAAACTAGTAACTAGTTCTTTATTGGTCTTGTTGTCTTCATGCTAATGAGGAACATTCTCTAAAATATAGGAAATTCTCATAAGTTGTGTGAATATTTACTCTTGTTTGATAATTCAAGTCGCGCGTGTGTTCCGACTGTTGGTATGCATAACAGCATTGTTAATGCCACTTCTGTTTCTTCTGCCGCATGATTTTATTTTATTTTTTATTTTTTTATTTATTTTTTTTATGTTCATGTACTATAAGTTCTGCTATGAAACTTGATTCACTTGTGATGATTTTAATATTTGCTGAGGTGGAAGGCTCCATAAAGGTCATTCCTAGTGAGCTTAATTGGCGTATATACAGAAAAGAAAGTTAAGGTTTATGTTTAGTAATTACAATAGGTAATTAGGTATATTAATTTCATATCGAACTGGACTCTTATGCCCTTCACCCTGAATAGCTCTGGCGTGGTGATTTCAAATTTTCAATCAAATTTGCTGGGTTGATCCCAAATTGGGGGACGGGGACTTAAAGAAAAAAATAGCATTTTTTACCATATTGTACGAGTAAAGAATGTCGAGATACCGAGTGGCTCCTAATGTTGATCTTTATTAGCATTGGCCTTTTACATTACACCCATGAGAACGCGTTCTCCAATTCATTTCAGTTGAACAAGTGAAAGAATACCCTATACAGGGGGCTAAAGAAGTGCAACTGCTTTTACATTACACCCATTATTGTCTCTTTGCATTGGCTTATTAAGAGTGTGCCTTGCTTAATGGTTCAAGAGCTTTCTATTATTATGCTGCGATAGTATTTGGAACATTCATTGATCAAATCCATCAAATTGACCTGACAGGATCCCCCCACTCTCCACAGCCCTCTTCTTGGCATCCACATCCTTTCTCGCTTTTCTCCGCACCTCCATTGTGTCCCTGTCACCCGTGATCGAGGTCCCTGCGTTCTTAATCTTCTGTCTTCCATCACTTCTTTCCCGTCTTTTGCCATGCTTTGAAAATGTTGTTCTCCCACTCACACTACGACTCCAACTCTCAGCACATCCATCATAAAGCTTCTTGTTGACAATAGAATTTCGTCAACAAGATTATATCGGATTACCTTTCGGTGGTCCGTTAGGTTACCGGTCAAAACTAATTCTTTTTTCGGATTTATGCAACGGATAGTGTTCGTTTTTAGGTATATTGTAAGATGTATTGATTTGTTGTTAGAACGGAGGTAAAGAGACACGAATTTATGATGGTTCACTCTATAAAAAAGAGCTACATCCATTGGTTTTTGTATTTTTCCTTTTGTGCTTTTAAGATTACAAAAAAGCTCACTCTTTCTCTCTGGGGCTTTGCCCTTTTTATAGCCTACAGATTATATATGGGTCTCTTTTGGGCGGACTGTCACATGGGGTTTTCTAATGGTTTCTTTCAAGTAGCCTATTATCCTACCTGCCTGGACTATAGCTTCTCAGCACCTTTTGGATTGTTCACTCACCCACTTTATCCACTATTGCGACTCTGCGGATCCTCTGTGATTTTCGTTGGTCCATTCCAGGCAGTTTATGGGTAGACAATTATTTCCTATGCTACTGACCTTCTCCAAACCCAGATGTAACCTAGGGATTTCTCCATTGTCCCCTCAGAGGTCTTTCTTGAGACGTGGACTCATATTCATGCGTTCTACCATCTGCACCTACATTATACTTCACAAGGCGCGACCTCCGTCTCGGTCAACCCCCTGATAGTACCCCTTTTGTTGCGAACAAATTACGCAGGCCTCGACTGGATGTAGGGTTGATGGCTGTGTGAATCGTCTCATACGGTTGGCTTTTTCACCAGATGGCGATGGGAGAATGAGCCTTACGCGTCGACGGCTGCCTGACGTAGCGGGTTTTGGGCCACATGGAGTGTGGTCGTCATCCAACGTGTCAACGCATATTTTCCCACACAACAGCTACCCCTCAGGTCGAGGCTTTTCTTTGGACTGCCTCGAGCTAGGCTGGGATTTGCTTTGGCCTTTCCGTTTGCTTCGGGTGTGGGAGCCTAACTCCGAACGTCCTTTGTAATGATGGCTCTGGCACTTCGGAGTCCTTCGAGAAGTGCAAACGTCGCGTCGGTTTGATCGCCACTCTGACGTGGGCTTTCATTTAAACCGACGAATCTGGGCCGTTGGATCGTGTCTCTTCAGCTTCCCGCTTTCTCCCTAACCGTCGGAATGAGTCCCTTCGTTTCCGTCGTTGGATGCATACTCACTTCATCGGACGGCTGGGGGTCGAGGGCTTTCCGTTACTATAAATAATCTCTTTGTGCTTGTTCAAATCATCTTGAAACTAAGTCGAAACTCAGTCAAAATTTCTAAATCATGTTTAGGTTAGAATCATCGCCGCCTATTTAAACTGTCGTCGTTTAGCCTTAACTTTACTTGACTAAGCTTTTTAAACAACTTTAGACGCCGAACTAATTTCCTCTTCCCTCTCGACTTATAGGATATTGACCTTAGATTTTTCCTTCATAGTAATGGCACGTAGAAGGATTAACCGTTGAGGCAGATCATCGTCCGTGCCTCTTGTGAGGCCGGATCCTTCTCTAGCCTGTCACGACCCCAAGGATAGGGCCGTGATTATTGGGGTTTAATTTAAAATTTAACCAAATTAAACTGGACTTTTTAACAAAACTCCAAACAGAGTGATTTCAAGTGCTACATCTTACTAATGATGCACACTAAACGGTAAGATTAGTGTCTTAAGTGTAGCGATCTTGGTTCTAGAAGTTGGGGTCCAAGTTCACACTTTTTGTGTTATGCCAAGAACACAATTTTGACCTTTCCGACATAAATGATCATAAAACATTCCGCATAGATCTGAAGGGTGTAATTCCAGTTTTTAGATAAAGTAGACACATAGAGTTTCGAAACGAGTTATCATATGTCAAAATCCGAGGTCTCTAAATACCTCAAAAACAGTTTCTAAGAAATCAAAATTCTATTATTTTCTGGTTTCGATAACTTTTGAGAAGTTTTTGGCATGAAACTTTCAATGTGTAGAACTCGGGTTACACAACTCCAATTGACGTGATTCCAACTCCCACATGTCACTAATAACATGTTCTAAATGGTTGTAACAGTGGCCTAGGGGCAACAACCCTATTTCAAAAAGTAAGAGTCTCAGTTCTTTATTTTATCAGTTCTTAGAAAAGACAGCTTTAGCGGCTGTTACGGGAATAATCATAAAATATTCTACAGAACCCCAAAAATTACAAAATCAACGCCTAATCGAAGTAGACATCTAGAGCTTTTCAAAGAGCTATCATAAGCTTAGTTTCAGATATGTTAAGGTCTCCAGAAACACGTTATACCAGATCAAAACGTGGCTATTTTTCTACAGAATTCCTATAAATCAAACGTAACTTCAAAAATGCATAATTTGAGCTACTGTTATCCATTTGAGGTGATTCTTGCGGCTATACGAAGATTAGGATGTCTAGTTTCCAATTATGTAACCCATTCATTCAATTCATCTCCGAGGATTCCCATAATTCAACAGTATCGAACATGTCCAGGTTAGGTTCCTTAACACTTTTTTCAACAAATTGAAAAATTCATAAGCTACAAAACTCCTTTTTAGGTGATTCAAATATCCTATCAAAGCTTGATAAGTATCTTTTAAGGTTCTAACATTACTAACATTAAAACTTCTTAAGAATAATCAAGTCCTAGCTTTTCTTTGGGCTGCTCCTAGAATCATCCCCAAAATCATGTGGATCAAGTGAGGAAAGTATGATTAAAGTCCAAAATAATAACATAATCAGTTTCTAACTCGAATCCATATTCTTCATAAATTCAATAAAATGGCAGATTCGTCGACCTTGACGGGAATATACATAAATTATTATCGACGTCTCCAAAAATTCCAAGATGAATTCCATAAGAAGGTAGACACGTAGATCTTTGATTTGGTATGTTACACATAAGGTTTGGAAACTGAAAATGCCTTTAAAAATAAGTTACAGAAAATCAGAATGGTCTGTCTAAAGAAATTCTTATAGTTGCATGAAATCCATCACGTGGACTAAATGACTTCAAGGTTGATTTTAATGCAACACCCACAGTCTGACACCGATTTGAAAAACGTCCAAAGTGTTGCTCATACTTATCATTAGAGCTACCCATTCTAATTCCACATGAAATTGACAAGACATCTCCTCATGAGGGTCGAACCTAACATCTTCAACCTGTGGGAACTCAACTTCAATTGCTAAAGAAGTTCTTCCATTTAAAACACCACTTGGAATATGAGTCAAAAGCAAGAATGTCACTCACATGGCGGAAAAGAGGCGAATACGACAATTCATCAAGATAGTCGTCCGAGAACCTATGAACTAAGACTTTCTAAGTCTTTTCTGGGGATTCCTACGTGTCAAACGATGGAAAAGAACATCCACCTTGCGACTCTGCTGGCAGGATCATGATATCGGCTGTCACAATAAACCATTCTATCAATGATAAAGAAACGAAGTTCCAATTTCAATAAAATAGGATCACTCGCCTCATTCCAGTCTTTATGAATTTCAGAATCATAGAATGGGACACGGAAACACTTGTCATCTTGGAATCTCATATCCAGTATATTATCAATTCCAGCTAGAAGTCAATCAACAACATAGACTCCCAACCACTGAAATAGAGACACCCAATTCTGGGAATGATCGAACACAAGAATATCAATCATCGACTTAAAATCTAGAAAGTCAAAGAAATTCACATAGTTAAATTTGACTCTAAAAGAAGAACCAATAGGAATTTAATATCGAATAGATATGCGCCCAAATTATCGATTGAATCTCTAAAACCCGGTGACTGAATAGGGATCTTCAAAGTTAAGATTGCCAAGTCTCGCACTAATGATCACCGTACACAAAAAGGAAATGAACGATATGACATGTTTCCGTATTAGGAACAAAATTACTGAGACCACTATTCGAAACAAGAAGCGGTCTTGATCTTAGAATAACATTGATTCATGATAGAAAGATAATATGAACCAAAATATGGTTATCAAGTAGAAAGTCCAACTCCAGTTCAAAATAGATCTAGAATAGAGCTCGAATTTAGAATTCAAAAAGTGAAATGATCGAGAATATTAATATCCATAGTCAATGTTTTACAATGACATGGTTCAAGTTAACGAGGGAATCAC